GTGTGTATGCTATTGTTTTTGGATGAAATGTTCTGTATGTATCTGTTAAGTACATCTGGTCCAATGTATCATTCGAAGACATTGTTATTGTATTATTGTATTGTATTATTGTATTACCATCATTTTCTCTCCTTACATCCTTTAATATTTGCTTCATGTGCTTAGCTGCTCCAGTGATGGGTGTGTATATATTTACAATTGTTGTATCCTTCTGTTGGATCGATCCCTTTATCATGATGTAATGCCTTTGTCTCTTGTTAAAACCTTTGTTTTAATGTATTTTGACTGATATAAGTATTGCCTCATGGCTTTTTTTTTTTTTCACTTCCATTTGCGTGATGAATATTTTCCTATCCCTTCATTTTTGGTTTGTATGTGTCTTTAGGTCTGAGGTGAGTTTCTTGTTGGCAGCATATAGATGAATCTTGTTTTTTAAATCCATCCCACCACTCTATGTCTTTTGATTGGTGCATTTAGGACGTTTACTTTCAAAGTAATTATTGATAGCTATGTAATTATTGCTATTTTTAAAATTTGTTTTCATAGTTCTTCTTTGTTCCTTTTTTTCTTTTAAAGATTTTATTTTATTTTTTGACAGACATAGATCACTGTAGGTAGGCAGAGAGGCAGGCAGAGAGAGAGAGAGGGAGGAAGCAGGTTCCCCGCTGAGCAGAGAGCCCGATGCGGGGCTCGATCCCAGGATTCTGGGATCATGACCTGAGCCGAGGGCAGAGGCTTTAACCCACTGAGCCACCCAGGCACCCCTTCTTTGTTCCTTTCATTTTCTCTTGCTTTTTCTTTGTGATTGATGAATAGCCATAGTGTTTTGTTTGGCTTTCTTTTTATGTTTTGTGTATGTATCATAGGTTTTGCGTTTGTGGTTATCATGAGATTCATATATAGCATCCTAAGTAAATAGCAGTGCATATTAATTTGATGGTCATTTAAATTCAAACACATTTTATATTTATTTTATTTATTTTACCTTATTTTATTTTTTAATTTAAATTCAATTAGCCAACATAGAGTACATAATTCATTTCAGATGTACAGTTCAGGAATTCATCAGTTCACATTCTGTATTTAAAAAAAACTCAGAAAAAGGATAAATCTTTTTCTTTTTCCTTTTTCTTCCATTTTTACTTCTTTCTCCACATTTTTAAAAAGAGATCTTATTTATGTATTTGACAGAGAGAGACACAGAAAGAGAGGGAACACAAGCAAGGGGAGTGGGAGAGGGAGAAGGGCAGGGAAGGCGAGGGCGGCTGATGTGGGACTCTGTCCCAGGACCCTGGGATCATGACCTGAGCAGGAAGCCGACACTTAATGACTGAGCCACCCAGGTGCCCCCTTCTCCACATTTTATACAGAGCTGTCATATGTTACATCTTTTTATTCATAGTCTTTAAATATCTAATTATGGCCATTTTTTTCCCACCTAAAGAAGCCCCTTTAAAAAAAAAAAAAAAGAAGCCCCTTTAACATTTCTTGTAAGGCTACTTTAGTGATGATTAACTCCTTTATCTTTTGTTCTTGGAGAAAGTTTTGGGTCAATCTGGTTTGATCTGGCTTCTTGTGGCTTTGTTTTGGAATGCTGCCAGGACTGGCCTCTGACTTTCCCAGTACCTGGCAATGGTTTCTTTACTGGCCTCTAGGTGTTTCGTTAGAACCTAACTAACTGCCTCTAACATTAAATGTTCTTTTATTTATTTATTTATTTTACTTATTATTATTTTTTATTATGTTCTGTTAGTCACCATACAGTACATCATTAGTTTTTTAAAACTACGGGATTTTTTCCTGTGCCCAAGGACAGAAGGATCTGTTCCAAGTCCCTTAGAACTATTCCTCGCCTCTCCTGCTTATAGCATCAGGGGTGGGGTTATCTTTGTAACCACATCTCTGTCTCTCTTGCTGTTCTTTTGCCATTCTACCTTCGGTTGTTTAGTAGCTGTTCAGTCAGCCCCCAGCTCTTCTGGAATAGTTCTATTAATAGGTACAATTTGGTGCGTTCTGTGGAGGATGTGGGTTCAGTCTTCTTATGTCACCATGGAAGTCTGCCTTTTTTTTAAACTTTGAAACTGAGGTCCTGAAAAGTTAATTGATTTGCCAAAGTTCACAGTTAGTATATAGCACAGCTGGGACCTTGTGATAGTGTGGTTTGTAGTTAGAACTCTGTCTTTTGGTCTTTGTCCCCATTTGTAGCACATAGCTTCTAAAACCCTTGAATTTCCTGAGTGGTGAGAGTAAGGTGTCTTTCATTATGTTAATGAGGTGACCTTTGGAATGCCCCTAGGTCATCTAAGGATTGGGGCTGGTTGCCTGGGGAAACAACTCTGTGACAGCAAGGTTGGTACTTTCAATTCCCTCCCTGGAACTTGGGGGAGGGAAGGGGGACTAATGTTTGAATGATGGCTGATGGCCAATGAATCACTCATGCCTAAGTAAGGAAGCCTTTATAAAAAAACCCCAAAGGAGGTTTTTTATCCATTTCGAGTTTATCTTTGTGTACGGTGTAAGAGAATGGCCAAGCTTCATTCTTCTACATATAGCTGTCCAGCTTTCCCAGCACCATTTATTGAAGAGACTGTCTTTTTTCCACTGTATATTTTTTCCTGCTTTGTCAAAGATTATTTGACCATAGAGTTGAGGGTCCATATCTGGGCTCTCTACTCTGTTTCACTGTCTATGTGTCTGTTTTTATGCCAGTACCATACTGTCTTGGTGATCACAGCTTTGTGGTAAAGCTTGAAATCAGGTAACTTGATGCTTCCAGTTTTATTTTTGTTTTTCAACATTTCCTTAGCAATTCGGGGTCTCTTCTGATTCCATACAAATTTTAGGATTATTTGCTCCAGCTCTTTGAAAAGTACCAGTGGAATTTTGATTGGAATGGCATTAAAAGTATAGATTGCTCTAGGCAGTATAGACATTTTAACAATGTTTTTTTCTTTTGATCCAAGAGCATGGAATGAATGGTCTTCCATCTTTTTGTGTCTTGTTCAATTTCTTTCATGAGTGTTCTATAGTTCCTCAAGTACAGATCCTTTACATCTTTGGTTAGATTTATTCCCAGGTATCTTATGGTTCTTGGTGCTATAGTAAATGGAATCAATTCTCTAATTTCCCTTTCTGTATTTTCATTGTTAGTGTATAAGAAAGCCACTGATTTCTGTACATTGACTTTGTATCCTTCCACGTTACTGAAAAGCTGTATGAGTTCTAGTAGTTTGGGGGTGGAGACAGGAATCCATAAGAATCCTAGAGGAGAACATAGGCAGTCACCTCTTCAATATCAGCCACAGCAATTTCTTTCAAGATATGTCTCCAAAGGCAAAGGAAACAAAAGCGAAAATGAACTTTTGGGACTTCATCAAGATCAAAAGCTTCTGCACAGCAAAGGAAACAGTCAACAAAACAAAGAGGCAACCCGTGGAATGGGAGAAGATATTTGCAAATGACAGTACAGACAAAAGATTGATATCCAGGATCTATAAAGAACTTCTCAAATTCAACACACAGAAAACATATAATCATATCAAAAAATGGGCAGAAGACATGAACAGACACTTCTCCAACAAAGACATACAAATGGCTATCAGACACATGAAAAAATGTTCAACATCACTAGCCATCAGGGAGATTCAAATTAAAACCACATTGAGATACCACCTTAAACAAGTTAGAATGGCCAAAATTAGCAAGACAGGAAACAACGTGTGTTGGAGAGGATGTGGAAAAGGGGAACCCTCTTACACTGTTGGTGGGAATGCAAGTTGGTGCAGCCACTTTGGAGAACAGTGTGGAGATTCCTCAAGAAATTAAAAATAGAGCTTCCCCATGACCCTGCAATGCACTACTGGGTATTTACCCCAAAGATACAGATGTAGTGAAAAGAAGGGCCATCTGTACCCTGATGTTCACAGCAGCAATGGCCATGGTCACCAAACTGTGGAAAGAACCAAGAGGCCCTTTAATGGATGAATGGATAAGGAAGATGTGGTCCATATACACTATGGAGTATTATGCCTCCATCAGAAAGGATGAATACCCAACTTTTGTAGCAACATGGACGGGACTGAAAGAGATTATGCTGAGCAAAATAAGTCAAGCAGAGAGAGTCAAGCATCATATGGTTTCACTTATTTGTGGAGCATAACAAATAGCATGGAGGACATAGGAAGATGGAGAGGAGAAGGGAGTTGAGGGAAATTAGAAGGGGAGGTGAACCATGAGAGACTATGGACTCTGAAAAACAACCTGAGGGTTTTGAAGGGGCTGGGGGTGGGAGGTTGGGGGAGCCAGGTGGAGGGTATTAAGGAGGGCAGGTATCGCATGGAGCACTGGGTGTGGTGCAAAAACAATGAATTCTGTTATGCTGAAAAGAAATAAAAACAACAACAACAACAACAACAACAACACACCAAAGGATGGGGTTTGGAGAGCTTCTAGGTTGGTGAACAGGTGGAGATTTGGTGACAGTGAACTCAGAGAGCATGGAAGCTCCATGCTCTTACCACAAACCTTGCCTTATGGATCTCTTCCATCTGGCAATTCCTGAGTTATATCATTTTATAACACATCTTTTTCTGAATTCTGTGAGCTGCTCTAGCAAATTAACCTAACTCAAGGAACGTGGTCATTGGAGTCTTTGATCTATAGCCATTAGGTCAGAATCCCTGGTGATAACCTGGGTTGCAAGTGGCATTTGCAGTGCGGGGCAGGGTCCAATCTTTTCGGCCTGAACTCTTAACCTGTGGGATTTGAAACTATCTCCAGATACATAGTGTCCGAATTGAATTATAGGACACCCAGCTGGTTTCTGAGAATTGCTTGTAGATATGGGGAACTCTTCTCCCTGCATTGCAGTTTGGTGTCAGAATCATTATTAGACCTGAATAGAGTTTTCTGATTCTCTGGATTTAGGAAACTTTCTTATGTCACACAATTTGTGTCCTTGCAGAGCTAAGTACTTTGTTGGCGCTCAGGACAGAGAAGCCATGGGAATCAAGAACAACGTGACTGAATTTGTGTTGTTCGGCCTTTTCCAGAGTAGGGAAATGCAGCACGTGTACTTTGTGGTCTTCTCCCTCTTCCACGTGCTCACTGTCCTGGGGAACATTCTCGTCATCATCACCATCAATACCAGGAAGACCCTCAATGCTCCCATGTATATCTTCCTCAGCCACCTGTCTTTTGCCGACATGTGTTATCCATCTGCTACCACACCCAAGATGATTGCTGACACTTTTGTGGTGCGCAAGACCATCTCCTTCAGTGGCTGCATGACCCAACTCTTTTCTGCTCACTTCTTTGGTGGCACTGAGATCTTCCTCCTCACAGCTATGGCCTATGACCACTATGTGGCAATCTGTAGGCCTCTGCACTACATGACCATCATGGATTGGTGGAAATGTGGCCTGCTGGCTGGGGCCTCCTGGGTGGAAGCTTTGGGAATTCCATCTTACAGACCCTTCTCACAGTCCAGCTGCCCTTTTGTGGGCCCAATGAGATCGACAACTTCTTCTGTGATGTTCATCCCTTGCTGAAGCTGGCCTGTGCAGACACTTACATGGTGGGGCTTATTGTGGTGGCCAACAGTGGCATGATCTCCTTGGTGTCCTTTATCATCCTTATTATCTCCTATGTGGTCATCTTATTGAACCTGAGAAGCCGGTCATCTGAGGGCCGGCCAAGGCTCTGTCCACATGTGGCTCACACATCATCACTGTCCTTTTGGTCCTTGTGCCCCCCATGTTCATGTACATTCATCCCTCCACTACCCTGGCTGCTGACAAGCTTGTCATCCTCTTTAACATTGTCATGCCACCTTTGCTGAACCCTCTGATCTACACGTTGAGGAACAACAAAGTGAAAAATGCCATGAGGAAGCTGTTTAGAGTAGAGGGGAGCATGGGGGAGAAGTGACAGTCCAAGGAATCACATCCAGCCTGGAACCTGGGAAACTTCCCATTTTATAGCATCTCCAATTTAATGCTTGTAATGACAACTGTATAATAATACTGATAATCCCACATACTCCTTTAAGCCTTCATTTACTAAATATTAATTGATTGTCTGCAATGAGTGAGGCACTGGGGATACACATAAGAGCAACATGTAATCTTTACCCTCAAGGGGGTCACAGTCCAGGATGTTCTTAGGGTGATACTTAAGGGCTCATTCAGGAAGCCGGTGAGGTTTACCAATGAGGGAAGGTCTAGGAAGGCTGAGTATCTCATCTACACCATGGACAATAGTACTAGACAATTCCTTTATTGTGGCTAACACAGTGCTCAATGGCATTTATTCTCTTTGCTCATGATACTCAAGGCTTTTTACTCAAAGTTCTGCATTTCAAGCTCTCAGCAGGCAGGTGAATAAGTAAGTGTAAAGAGGTTACAGGATTTAAGTCATGAAATAATTCCTGAGCCAGGTGGAGGCCAGAATCCAGGTCCCCTAAGTTGGCTTTCAGGGCTCTCCCTGTTGGGTCCAGGGTCAAAGGAGTGAGACTGATACAAAGCGAAGGTCAAGCAAAGCTTTATTTTGTGCCAAGCATCGAGAATCAAACTGACCAGCCAGGGCCATCTCTTGCAAAGAGGTGACCCCTCCCAGCCTCACAGACTAACTTATAGAGTAAAGGCCATGTGGTTGAGCCTGGCCACACACAGGTGGCCAGTTGAATTACAATTCATCCTATAGTAGCTATTTGAACTAGCCTATCGCTCTGGTCAGAATTGGCACCCAAAAGGTGCCCAAAAGGCAGGGCCCACATTCGTGGGTGGTTAGGGAGGTGCTTTCCTGATTGGATGTCTCCACCTGGTTTGACTCATCCTTGTATTCTGGGCTCTGTTACCTCCCCCTGACCTGACAGGTCCTGGGATATGGGCTGTGTCATCAGGGGCTGGTCAGTCATATTTTTTTTCCCAGACTTGTTTCTAAGTAAGCTCCTCAGGGTGGGGGGAGGCAGGGTCAATCTAAGTTTACTGCATAAGCAACAAAATGGCTCACTCTGGCTAAGTAGGCCCTTACACTCCCCACCCCAACTCCTCCACAAAGATTGTGTGAAAATTAATAAGGGGAGACCTCACTATAATGGAGTCAGGAGGGCAGCCAGGGGGAGGGTGTTCATGCCCTACTTACCTCTGTCCTCAAATGCAGAGCCCACAGGAAAAGAACAGTTCCCCTGCTACCCTAATGTGGGAAACAAAGGCAGAAAGAAACGCAGATAAGGTAACTGTCCTTACAACCTGCAACTCATCGACAAATACTTGACTCAGGCGGGAGTGTAGTTCCTCCAGGAAGCTCCCAACTGCTTTAATGCCTTGCTCGAGGCATTAAAATAACCTTGGTGGGAAGATAGAAGGTCTCTGGTATTCTGCGAGTCTTCTTTAGCATATGAAAATACTTTTGGAACTTCCCTTATCTTTACTTCCCCCAACCCCAAAGTGTACGTTCAATTGCCCCTCACAATCCGGGGCAGAAACTGGCTGCAGCTCTTGCTGCCCATGGGTCCTGTTCCCCTCCTTTACTAAAATCACTTTTTTTGCACCAAAGACCTCTCAAGAATTCCTTCTTGGCTAGTGGCTGCAGACCCCAACAACACTACTCCAAAAACACATCAATACTACTTCACCATCCCCCAAGAAGGAAGACAGGCTTTCCTTCTCCCAGGACAGCAGCCCAGCCAATAAACGAGGTCACAGCTCAGCCTATGAAAGAACACTATGCTTAGAACTCTCAGCTTACTCGAATGAACTTTCTGTTTACAGGAGCCACCCCATGCCTTCCTCTATGAGTTTTCAAATGCTGGTTGCAATTCTCTGTTCTGTAGGCGTAAACCCACTCTTGCTGGTACAATAACTGGCAGTTTTATTTTCAAGGTTAACAGTGAACAGACACTGAGTAGGAGGGATCAGGAAGTTTTGAAGGAGGGAGTATTGGTGGCGATGTGTGGGAACAGAGAGCAGAGCCAGGGATAGCTAAGTTCTCAGCCCTTCTCTTTCTCTCCAGCAGAGCAGGGACTTTGGTCCCCATTCATCCCCCTCTGTCTTCCTTCATTTTTGCTGCTAGAAGGAGCCAGGCTTTATGCAGGGTGAAATTAGGAGAGCTGCATGGGATGTCTTGCTTAATTACTGTTGGTTCACAAACCAACCCTTGTAGACGGAGGGCAGGGAGAGATGGAAGAAAGAGACAGGCCACTCCACATCAGTGGGTGGCAGGTTTAACAAGCCAGGGAAGTTATGTACTCACCTCTTCAAGGTGAGTGCTTGGAAGTGGCTGTGGCTGTGGGAAGGTGGGCAGAGTGGACATTCCAAGGAGAGGGGGTGGTGGGGAAAATCCACTTGCCTGAATCTAGCCTGAGGGTCAACCAGTGACCATGACCTCTCAGTGACCTTCTCCACTGACCGTTAACCTCAATGACCTCCTCCATTGACCATTAACTATTCATGGTTAATGACCCCGTTGGGTTTCAATTTCCATGTTTACCAGTGAAGACAGTAAAAATACCAGCTTGGGAAGGTTGCTTTGTCAAGTCCTGGGTCAGGGTCTGTTGTGCAGGTGGCTGCCACACTCTTTCTTTAGGCCCTTGTCTTCTCTTCCTTCTTGTCTTCCTATTCCCGTGTTCCTGCCTTTTCTCCTAAAACCCAGAATACCTTAATACTCTTCTAAATACCAGATGGATACATTCACTCCTCCAATGTTTACTGATCATGTAGCATGTGGTAAGTATGCTCTTTTGTTTTGTTCCATCTGGGTTTGTGTTTAGCCAGTGCAGGCCACCCAGCCCCTCCTCACAGAGGTGGCTGAACTTGGGGGATGAAAAAAGGCCACTGAGGTGGGAGTGTGGACTAGGATGGAGCCTGGGGTGGGGTGAAGGTGTACATGAGACACTGGCCCCCGGCCTTGGCTGCCCACATCTGACCCCGTTTCCAGCAGGCTGCGGGGCAGCAGGAGGCAGTGAAGGTGTCCACGAGGAACAGGTCCTGGGCTTGCTTCCACCTCCAGCCCCTCTTCCTTTCTCCCCTGTGTCCTTCCTATGGAAGTCTGGGAACCAAACTCTCCACCTGGCTGGGAAGGTGAGGGAAGGAGGGAGGATGGAAGGAAGGAAGGAAGGAAGCCTTGCACTCCTGAAGCTTATGTGCGTGATAAAAGTTACTGAATTCTTCTAGTATGTAAGATACTATTGTAAGTGTGTTTAGTGAGTCTTTGTCTCTGGACCGTGAACTTAGCAAGAATTTCTCAGTTTCTCCAGAACAGGGGCAGTGTGGGCAACTCTTGGCAATGAAAGTACGTAAAGGTTATGGGTTAAAAATAAAAAGGGATAGAAAGAGATATGGACAGACCTTGACATTCTTTGCCATGCTCTTCTTTATTTTGGTGTTCTTTAGTGTTTTAAATCAAGTTGATAAATTTTTGCACCCAGTTCCTTGGATTAGATGTATTCTTAGGACACTTACGGCTTTGCTGCTATTGTAAATAAATAACATCTTTATTTTTTCCAGCTTTATTTACATATAGCTTACATACAACATTGTGTAAATTTAAGGTGTACAAGGTGTTGGTAAGACACATTTATAAGCAAATAGATTACCATCATAGCATTAGCCAAAACCTCCATCCTATCATATACTTAAATTCCTGTTTGTGTAAGAACATTTAAGATTTACTCTTAGAAACATTCAAGTGTATCAAACAGTATTAAGTGTATCGACATACTCTGCATTTGATCTATAGAGCTTGTTAATCTTCTAACTGAAAGTTTGTACACTTTGACAAATATCTTCCCATTTCCTTTATCCCCCAGCCCCTCATACCCACTGCTCTGCGGTTTCTGAGGTTTTTTTTTTAGATTTACATGTAAGTGATACGAAACATTATTTGTCTTCCACTCTCTGACTTATTTCACTTAGCATAATGTCCTTAAGAACAACCCATATTGATGAAATGATAAGATTTCATTCTTTTTCATGGCTGAGTAATATTCCATTGTGTATTATATTATCACATCTTCTCCATCCATTCATCTGTTAACAGCCATTGATTGTTTCCATAACTTGGCTTTTGGGAATAATGCTGCAATAAATATGCGAGTGCAGATATCTCCCTGATATGCTGTTTTCCTTTCTTTGGATGAATACCAAAAAGGAGGATTTCTGGTTCATATAGTAATTCTGTTTTTAATTTTTTTTAAAGGATTGTTCATACTGTTTTGCATAGTGGCATGTACCATTTTACAGTCCTGCCAACAGCACATAAAGTTTCCCTTTACACCCTTGCCAACACTTGTTATCTCTTGTCTTTTTGGTAATAGGTGTGAGGCCATAGTTCTTTGTGGTTTTGATTTGCATTTCTCCAATGATCAGTGATGTTGAACACCTCTTCTTGTACCTGTTGACTATTTATATGTTTTCTTTGAAAAACTGTCTATTCATTTCTCTGCTCAACATTTATTTATTTATTTATTTATTTATTTATTTGTGTGTTTGTTTATTTATTGAGCTATTGAGTTGAATGAGTTCTTTATATATTTTGGATACTAACCCTTTATCAAGTGTAGGATTTATAAATGTTTTCTCTCATTCTGTTGGTTGCTTTTTCATTTTGTTAGTTTCCTTTACTGTGCATAAGATTTTAGTTTCATATAGTCCCACTTGTTTATTTTTGCTTTTTTGTCTTTGCTTGCTTCTTTTGTTTGTTTTTTGTTTTTTGATGTCAGATCCAAAAAAAACATTGCCATGACCTAAGTCAAGGAGTAGTCTCCTATGTTTTATTTTAGGATTTTTTGGTTGCAGGTCTTATGTTTTTAATCCATTTGAGTTGATATATGTGTATTATAGGAAGGGGCCAGTTTCATTTTTTCCTATGTGGCTATCCAGATTTCCAAACACTGTTTATTGAGGGAGACTTTCCTTTCTTCATTGTTT